ACTCTGAAGAGTTTTGATCAAGAAAGGGTACTGTACTTCATCAAATGCTTTTTCTGCATCTATTGAGAGGATCATCTGATTCTTGTTCTTTCTTTTGTTAATGTATTGTATCACGTTGATTGATTTGCGGATGTTGAACCAAACTTGCAGCCCAGGGATAAATCCCACTTGGTCATGGTGAATAATCCTTTTAATGTACTGTTGGATCCTATTGGCTAGTATTTTGGCGAGAATTCTTGCATCCATGTTCATCAAGGATATTGGTTTGCAATTTTCCTTTTTGATGGGGTCTTTGTCTGGTTTTGGGATCAAGGTAATGGTGGCCTCATAAAACGAGTTTGGAAGTTTTCCTTCCATTTCTATTTTTTGGAACAGTTTCAGGAGAATAGGTATTAATTCTTCTTGAAATGTTTGGTAGAATTCCCCTGGGAAGCCATCTGGCCCTGGGCTTTTGTTTGTTGGGAGATTTTTAATGACTGCTTCAATTTCCTTAGTGGTTATAGGTCTGTTCAGGTTTTCTGTTTCTTCCTGGTTCACTTTTGGTAGTTGATACATCTCTAGGAATGCATCCATTTCTTGCAGGTTATCTAATTTGCTGACATAGAGTTGCTCATAATATGTTCTTATAATTGTTTGTATTTCTTTGGTGTTGGTTGTGATCTCTCCTCTTTCATTCATGATTTTGTTGATTTGGGTCATTTCTCTTTCTTTTGGATAAGTCTGGCCAGGGGTTTATCAATCTTGTTAATTCTTTCAAAGAACCAGCTCCTAGTTTCTTTGAACTGTTCTACTGTTCTTTTGGTTTCTAGTTCATTGATTTCTGCTCTGATCTTTATTATTTCTCTTCTCCTGCTGGGTTTAGGCTTTATTTGCTGTTTTTCTCTAGCTCCTGTAGGTGTAGGGTTAGGTTGTGTATTTGAGACCTTTCTTGTTTCTTGAGAAAGGCTTGTATTGCTATATACTTTCCGCTTGGGACTGCCTTGTTATATTCCAAAGATTTTGAACAGTTGTGTTTTCCTTTTTACTGGTTTCCGTGAATTTTTTTAATTCTTCTTTAATTTCCTGGTTGACCCATTCATTCTTTAGTAGGATGCTCTTTAGCCTCCATGTATTTGAGTTCTTTCCGACTTTCCTCTTGTGATTGAGTTCTAGATTCAAAGCATTGTGGTCTGAAAATATGCAGGGAATGATCCCAATCTTTTGGTACCAGTTGAGACCTGATTTGTGACCTAGGATGTGATTTATTCTAGAGAATGTTCCATTGGCAGTAGAGAAGAATGTGTATTCCGTTGCTTTGGGATGGAATGTTCTGTATATGTCTGTGAAGTCCATTTGTTCCAGTGTGTCATTTAAAGTCTTTATTTTCTTGTTGATCTTTTGCTTAGATGATTTGTCCATTTCAGTGAGGGCGGTGTTAACGTTCCCCACTGTTATTGTATTGTTGCAATGTGTTTCTTTGCTTTTGTTATTAATTGCCTTATATAATTGGCTACTCCCATGTTCGGGGCATAGATATTTACAATTGTTAGATCTTCTTGTTAGATAGACCCTTTAAGTAGGATATACTATCTTTCCTCATCTCTTATTACAGTCTTTGTTTTAAAATCTAATTTGTCTGATATAAGGATTGCCACCCCAGCTTTCTTTTGGTGTCCATTAGCACGGTAAATGGTTTTCCACCCCCTCACTTTCAATGTGGGGGTGTCTTTGGGTCTAAAAGGAGTCTCTTGCAGACAGCATTTCGATAGGTCTTGTTTTTTAATCCGGTCTGATAACCTGTGTCTTTTGACTGGGGCATTTAGCCCATTTACATTCACGGTAACTATTGAAAGATAGGAATTTAGTGCCATTGTATTGCCTGTAAGTTGACTGAGAGTGTATATTGTCTGTGTCCCTTTCTGATCTGTGCTGCTTTTAGGCTCTCTCTTTGCTTAGGGGACCCCTTTCAGTGTTTCTTGAAGGGCTGGTTTTGTGTTTGCAAATTCCTTTAGTTTTTGTTTGTCCTGGAAACTTTTTATCTCTCCTTCCATTTTCAGTGACAGCCTAGCTGGATATAGTATTCTTGGCTGCCTATTTTTCTCATTCAGTGCTCTGAATATATCATGCCAGTCCTTTCTGGCCTGCCAGGTCTCTGTGGATAGGTCTGTTGCCAATCTAATGTTTCTACCATTATAGGTTACATATCTCGTCTCCCGAGCTGCTTTCAGGATTTTCTCTTTGTCTCTGAGACTCGTAAGTTTTACTATTAGATGTCGGGGTGTTGACCTATTTTTATTGATTTTTTTGAGGGGTTCTCTGTGCCTCCTGGATTTTGATGCCTGTTTCCTTCCCCACATTAGGAAGTTCTCTGCTATAATTTGCTCCAGTATACCTTCTGCCCCTCTCTCTCTTTCTTCTTCTTCTGGGATCCCAATTATTCTAATGTTGTTTCGTCTTATCGTATCGCTTATCTCTCGAATTTGCCCTCATGATCCAGTAGTTTCTCTTTTTCTCAGCTTCTTTATTTTCCATCATTTGGTCTTCTATATTGCTGATTCTCTCTTCTGCCTCACTTATCCTAGCAGTTCGTGCCCCCATTTTTGATTGCACCTCATTAATAGCCTTTTTGATTTTGATTTGGTTAGATTGTAGTTCTTTTATTTCTCCAGGAAGGGCGTCTCTAATAACTTCCATGCTTTTTTCAAGCCCAGCTAGTATCTTTAAAATCATGCTGAACTCTAGGTCCAACATCATACTAATGTCCCTATTGAGTAGGTCCCTGGCAGACGGTACTACCTCTTGTTCTTTTTGCTGAGGTGATTTTTTTCATCTTGTCATTTTGTCCAGAGGATAATAGATGAATGCGATAACAAAATGCTAACAATGTAACAACGTCCCCAGAAAATATAAATAAATCAGAAAAGACCTGAAACTGGGGGAAAAGAAAGGGAAAGAAAGAAAAAAGAAAGAGGAGAAAAAAAAGATAAAAAGATAAAAACAAACAAAAACAGAACAATACAAAAAGAAACAGAATATGATCATATATGATCAGGCTAGTGCATAGATCAGTGCCACACACCAGATTTTGGGTGTATTTTGGTCTGTTAGAAGAAAGTGCCTCCTAAAATTTTAAGGAAAGAAAGACTTATATATGTACAAAATAAGGGTTGATAGAATGAAGGGATGGAAGATGACTGTAAAGATGAAAATTATAAAAGATTTTATAAAAGGAATTGATAAGAAGTTGTTTGAACAAAGAAAGAAGATTTAAAAAAAAAGTGAGATAATGTGATCAGGCAGGAGACTAGAACAAAGCCATATCCTAGTGATTTAGTGTATATTTCTATCTGTTAGAAGAAAGTGTATCTCAAAATTTTAAAGATAGAACAACATATATATATGCCAAAAATAAGGGTAACTACTATGAAGGGATAGAATAGGACTCTAAAAATGAAAAATAAAAATGTTTTTTTTAAAAAAGGGATTGATAAGATGTTGGTTGAAAAAGGGAAAAAGAAAAATTAAAAAAAAAAACAGTTAAAAAAATTAACTTTGTAAAACTAATGAATCATTGTAAAAAAAGCCATGAATTCTATGTGCAGTGTTCCCCTAGCACTGGAGTTCTCCCATTCTCCTTGATCGGTAAACTTGGTCTTGGCTTGCTGGCTGTTCCTGCTGATCTTCTGGGGGAGGGGCCTGTTGCCGGGGTTCCCAAATGTCTTTGCCCGGAGGCGGAATTGCCCCACCCTTGTCGGTCTGGGCTAAGCAATCTGCTCGGGTTTGCTCTTGGCAGCTTTTGTTCCCTGCAAGCTCTCGGTACAGCTTTGGAGAATGAGAGTGAAAATGGTGGCCTCCCAGTCTCCGACCGGAGGATCCGAGAACTTGGTGCCCCGCCCCTCAGTGCGCCCCCAGAGAAAAGCAGTCAGTCACTCCCTTCTCCCCGGTCTCCGTCCGCACCCCGTGCTCACCCGGCCTGTGACCGTGTGTTTCTATCTCTGGCACCCGACCCCGTGTGGAGTCTCCAAACCCAGCAGATCCCTGCGGTGCCCTCACGCGCCGCTCCTCCGGCAGAGGAAGGGGCGTGTCCCCGCTCTGCCGCTTGTTGGGTCCCTGCTGGAGGAGCAGGGGCCCAACTGGGCCGCGGATCACAGTTTATGGCAACCCCAAGCTGAGAGCCCGCTCCTCGGCTCCGTCTCTGCAGTCGGCTTCCCCGCTCCAATACCTGGGAGCTCTGCCTCACTCAGGCACCCCCGGTCTTTCTGTGACCCCGAGGGTCCCGAGACCACCCTGTCTCACGAGGGTTCCTCCCCTAGCTTAGCCACTGGAGCAACGTCCCTCAGCGGAGCTGATTTCTAAACATTCCGATTTTGTGCTCTGCGGCTTTATCACTTGCCAGAAGCGCCCGATGGAGGCCCCCTCCACCACCGTCTATTCTCCCGAATATTGCCTCAGATTCACTTCTCCGCAAGCCCTACCTTCCAGTAAGTGGTCGTTTCTCTGTTCAGAGAGTTGTTGCTACTCTCTTCTTCGATCTCCTGTTGAGTTCGTAGGTGTTCAGAATGGTTTGATCCCTATTCGGCTGAATTCCTGAGACCAGACAAAATCCAGGTCTCCTACTCCTCTGCCATCTTGCTCCGCCCCCCCATTAGCATTTCTTGTAGGACCCATTTAGTGGTGATGAATCCTTTACCTTTTGCTTATCTGGAAAGCTCTTAATCTGCCCTTCAATTTGGAATGGTAACCTTACTGGTTAGAGAATTCTTGGTTGAATTCATTGAACAGATAAAGTAACTGAGCTACTTCAGGGATGGGAGACCATCCCAGCCAGGTGCTCTGGGCAGGAGAGCTCAGATTGTAATGTTTACTCTTTCCTCTCAAGTGAGTCCCTCTATTGATTCCTTTTATTCTTTCATTTGCTAAATAATTATTGAGCACCTACTATGTAGTAGGCACTTGGGAGGCTTGTGGGATTCAGTGGCAAACAAGCTTGTAGTCCAGTGATGTCCTCTTTCATTTTATAGGTTATGGCTTTCAAATCACAGCCTATTTCCTCAAGAGAGGGATACGCCTTCACTGTTTCGGGGGTTCACAGAGGACTGGTAAGAAACTGATTTCTTGAGTTGACAGGCACTTTGCACTATTAAATTGCTCTAGAGAAGAAATGAAAATTAAGGAACCAAGATTCCAACTTGCTTCATTGCCTTTGTGAAATTGAAGTAGTAATTAAGAATATTTCTAAACATTTGTGATTTTTGTTTTGTTTTTTAATTTTCACTGATTTTGAGAACTGTGAGCTGAGCCACATTGTGCTTCACTCTCCTGCTGCATCTCAGCACTTTCATTGAGCTTCCAGAATGATTTGACAGGCAGTTAAACTATGAATCACTTCATCTTTGTCTGTGCACACCAAGTCCCTGGGATACAGAACAAGTGTGTACACGAGAAAATGCTTTCCCAGCCCAAAGCTGTCAGAGCCCTTCTTAGGTGTGTGACAAGGCCAGCTTCCCTCCTCATTTCCACAAGTCAAGAAGTCCACTGGGGAAATGATGTCAAACACGTCCAGCCAACAACAATAAAGTCAGATGCTAATGACAATTCTCCAAGCTGATCTGAACATTGAAAAGAAAATCTAACTGAACTTCCTTGGATGATTTTAATATATAAGATATGAAACAGGGACTTTGAAAATAAACTGTACGAAGATTTGCTCTTGGAATCTTAACAGTGATCTGCACTTTTTAAACTTTAAGTGTCAGTTAAGTATATTACTCTCTTAATGGGGCTTTCCACTTTGTTCAATTCTCTTAGTAAAATAAGCCAGTTATCCTTGTATCTGTCTGTTAAAATGAAGGCTAGCTACTATGTATGGTAGAGATAGTTACTGCCTAAATCTTTATTTAAATATTAAAACAATAAAAATCTCAGTTATGACCTATGCAAAGAAAAGGTATACAGAAGTTGCTTTCTGTTTATACAATACCTAGCCCCAAAATGTTCAAAATTCATCATTTTGGCATTCTTATTTTTCAGAGAAGAAATGGAAGGACAAATCAGAGGAATTACTGGATAGAACTGATTATTTTGAATTTGAATTCTGATCCACTGAGTTGTATTGCAATGTTAGGTTTTGGGCAGAGGGCAGATAATGAATTCTGGGGCTCAGTTCCCTCTTCCTGAAAGTGAGAAGCAGACTACTTACCACTTAGTTCATTAAGAAATTTTAAGAATTAGGGTTGCCTGGGTGGCTCAGTTGGTTAAGAATCTGACTTCAGCTCAGGTCATGATCTTGGCGTCCTGGGATTGAGCCTTGTGTTGGGCTCTGCACTCAGTGGGGAATCTGCTTCTCCCTCTCCCTTTCGCTCTGCTCCTCCCCCTACTCTTGCACATAGGAACGCGCTCTCTGTCTCTCTCATAAATAAATAAAAATAAATAAAATCTTTTTTTTTTTTAAGAAATTTTAACAATTAATGAATAAGGACACCTGGGCGGCTCGGTCAGTTAAGCTTCTGCCTTCAGCTCAGGTCATGATCCCAGAGTCCTGGGATCAGCCCTGCATCAGGCTCCCTGCTCATTGGGAGGGAGCCTGCTTTTCCTTCTCCCTCTGCCGCTCCCCCTGCTTGTACTCTCTCTCTCCCTCACTCCCTCTGTCAAATAAATAACTAAATAACTAATCTTAAAAAAAAAAGAATTAATGAATAGATATTAATGACTTTTATTTATTTATTTTTGGGTTTTCAAAGTCTATTCCTAGTCTCCTAACCAGATAAACATCCATGAGAGGTCAGAGTTTCAACACACTCAGGCTTCTGAAATGGGGAGGTCTAATGGGGGTAAGACCAGAATGACAGGTTAGGTCCCACTTAGGGAGGGCTTTGAAGTCTGCAGGTCTGTGGTAGATACTGAGGAGCCAGGATGGGGTTTTGAGCAGGATAAGTGGAGCTGTATTTTTTTTTCTTTTTTTAGAACTGGTAACCTGCTTGCACTGAGTAGGATAAAATAGAATAGGGAAGAGTGATCACCAAGGACACAGTGGTGGTCTAGGGGAGAGGTAAGGAGATGGCTCTTACTAGAACATCAACTCATTAGGCCTTTGGTGTAATTAACCTAGCCAGGTGGTATGGTGGTAACTGTGTTTAAGTTGTGTGTCTCCGTAATCAACACCTTCGCGCTTGGCTCCTTAGTGTATCAGGCTAAGAGGCATTATTACCTCAGTCAGTCCCTCACATTGTCATCCATTGTTGGAAATGAACAATGTATGTAAAAGGCTTCACTTATCTGATTCATACCATCCCTCTTTAGAAATATTGGTCATCTAAGAGGGAAGTTTTCACTTTTAGAAAAATGGCTTTGTGATATCAGTATGATACATGTGTATTATAAAAATATTAGAGCAATACAACCAAGTGTAAAGAAGAGAGAAGATCCTCACCTGCCACCCAGAATATACACTATTAGCATCAGCTAAACATCACTCCAGAGATAGGTGGAGGCTGCGTAAGTGAACATGGATGGATAGACAGATGAGAGAGGAGGAAAGATACAGATGGCATTGACCACTTCGTGTTCTTTTTTTTATTGAATGTTGGGGCATCTAGTTCTATGATTCCTTCAGCCTTCTCCACCCAGAAGTCAGTGGTTTGCTTTAAGAAGTTGTAATGATAGATTAGTGGACTGTAGTGTAACTGTATCATCTTTGCTATCGCATATTTTACTATTTCCTTATTTTTCCTATTAATGACACTGCCATTTTCATAGCCTGATTCAGATTGGGAATTTGCCCTCCAGTTTAGGGGACTGATCTAAGACCAGTTGACCAAAGAGATGATAAGTAAAATAATTAGTAAGAATGTCAACAGGTTTTCAGATTTTATCTCCTATTCTTCCTCTTCCTGTATAAATCTGCACACTCATTAGAGAACGTTGATCCTGTTTCCCAAATGTGAGTTCTAGTCAGAAAACAGCAAACTGACACAGGGGGAGGGCTGCAAAAGCCCTTCCTGGGGGTTTCATGGGATATAATATAATGGTCCAGGGGCTCAGGTGGACCAATTTGCAACCTCCTGGGTGCTCCCCACAGCTCTGTGCTTGCCCCGCCCTGCTGACTGCAAACACTGAAAGGCAAGGAGGAGAAGAGACATGTGTCTGATACATACATGCTTATAACTATAACTGAAAAATCTGGGACCAAGCATTTCCAAGCATTTCTCTGTTCATAGATTTTTGATGCCTTTAGTAACTTGATTTTCTTCATTTTGTGCAGAGCTCCGTGTATTTCCTGACAGATTTGTGGTCTGTGTAAGTCAGCTTTCATTCAGTTGTGATCTTTTGGCAAGTCAGAATGAAGAATTGGTATGTACAAAAACATATAAATAAATCTGCTTAAATGACAACTTACTGTAAAAATCATAAAAAGTGTTGTCTTCAGTTATCATTTGGTTATCCATCATTCAGTGCATGTTTTAAGGGACCAAAAATGTCCTACCTATTGCATGATAATATTAACTGATGTGTTTTGTTTTGTTTGCTTTTATTTTTTTTTATCCTGAAGACCCCTTGAAAATTTAGTTTGATCAGCCTTATCTTTTCTACGTCATTTTTAAATGGGAAAGCAACATATCACAAAATCAGTGATGGTGCTTATGATAATATTCAAATGAGATAAAGCAAAGTCTTTCAGTGAAATGAAGCAAAATCCACATGTTTCCACTGGAAGCTTTCATTGGGGTCAGTGGCTTTTGAATTTTATTCCATGGTGAATCACTGACATTTTCATGAGAATCAGTACTTGTCCCCAGTGTGTTGTTTCTTTGCTGATAGGGCTTGTTTTCTATCTCTTTTCTCAGGCTTAGTCTCAAGCTTCATCGGGTCCTGTTTCATTTGTGTTTCATTGGAGTTCTCAATGCAGTTAAATAGATACAAAAAACTCACCCATAATATTGTAGCTTACAGCTTTGTCTTGTAAGCTTAACATATACACTTGAGAGAGTCTACTTGGGGGTGTGTGTGTGTGTGTGTGTGTGTGTGTGTGTGTCTTTCTGTCTGTCTCTTGCTGCAGCCACAGTCCAATCTATCTGAACTTATCTGTGTGCAAACTTTTTTTCATATTTTTGGATATATTACTTGAACTTTAACAAAGAGGAAAAATATCTAGCAGACATGAAACCTGGACATGAAGTGTGACATGATTATTATGCTTCTAAAATAATTTATGGGAATATTAGATTACTCCTTATGTTTATTATTTTTTAATCCATATGAAATGTGAAATTTGGCCCACATGGTCTAAAACCAGCTTCTTACCTCATCTTAAATAAATGCATAGAGACTAAAAGGGTGAATAGGGACCTAGGAAGAGTAAAGAGCAGAGAAGCTTTTGTTTGGAGCAGATGAGCGCTTTGGAAAAGCCAGCGGGACCCTTATTTCTTCATCTATCAATTAAATGGCATAAATCAAGCAAATTTGGTGAAAAGTATTAAAAGTGTATTCTTTGAAATGTTCCCAGGATGTTAGAGTTGTCTTAGTAAATTAATAAATACTAAAGTAGTAATGCTGTTGGCAAACAACTATAATATAACTTAACTGATTCTCAGAGCAGTGAAGAAATTCATCTGTGGTTTAAGAAAACAATTAGCTATACCAGCAAGTGTCATTGCTTCAGATGGAATACAGAAGAAATTAAATCTTGTATGATATGTAATATTAATACTTAATACCTTAAATTGTTAAGGGTGAATTAAAACATTTCAATACAAATGAAATATTATCCTCCTTAGGGGCACTGGTCTTTATACAGATCGGAGTTTTCTATAGCTGCTGTCATATAAATCCTGTAATCTGGAGGACTTCCTAAATGTTAAGAATTTTCATTCTGAAGAGTTGACTAGTCTGAGCCTTTTACATAAGCCAGTTCAGTTTTCTTGTCTTCAGTATGTTTGTTTGTTTTTTTTTTTAAGATTTTATCTATTTATTTGACGGAGATAGAGAGAGAGCACAAGTAGGCAGAGAGGCAGGCAGAGGGAGAGGGAGAAGCAGGCTCTCTGCTGAGCAGGGAGCCCAATGCGGAACTCAATCCCAGGACCCTGGGATCATGACCTGAGCTGAAGGCAGCCGCTTAACCAGCTGAGCCACTCAGGCGCCCTTGTCTTCAGTATGTTCTGACTTCCAGTGATAACACTATCAGAGTTTATATCATGAGGGTCTTTCATTGTTTTCAGTGACTCTTTACATGTGCTCTGTCTCTGGCTCTTCAGCTGCTCTTCTTCTGCACCTCTGACTGTGCCTTCACGTACACACACTTTCCCAGCCACGCACACGGGAGTCAGCTAACACATAGCACCACTAACCAGCTCCCTTGCTGGACACAGGCTCTGTGCACCCCTTTCTCCTTTCCGGCCTCCAGTCCACCACTTCCTTAAGCTTGTTGTCCCTAGGAAACAGTGAAATATCCAGGCCTAGCAAGGGGTCCTCCTGCAAATTGCCCATCAAGCCAAAAACATGGTCCTTCCACTGCAGGTGCCTTGGAGCTTTCACCTCATTGATGTTTGACTTCTGCAGAGCCCAGCTGTCTCAGCCATTTGAGGCTCAATAAACCATCCCTCCTTCCCAGAATTGCCTTCTGTCTGAGAGAAGGCCTGCATACTCCTTGGTATATATTTCAAATGCCCAAAGCCAGTAATATCTGGCTTTTGTGTGCATATTCCTTGAACTTCTGGAAAGCTTTGAATTCTTTATCGGTTTACATTGATATTCACCAGAGGGCAGGATCCATCTCGTTTCCGTTGGTAGTTATTCTCCAGGAATGTCTGACTGGGCAAGGCCTGGGAAATTGGCTTCCTAAAGAGCTGTATTGGAGATGCGTTTTTGTCAATAAACATCAGTGATTTTCCTGTAAGTGTTTACTGAACTCAGTCTTCCATGGCCCCAGAAGTGATGGGGGAGTGAGCCAGTACGCAAGCAACAGCCTGGGTGCCTCGCTTGTGCCTCGAGTAGCAGATTCCTTTTCCTCCTCCTCCTTCTTTTTTTCTTTTTCTTTTTCCTTTTCCTTTTGGTTCCTCCATGTCTAAATGACAGTTGGTTAGGAAATCTGGGAGTGCCTATTCAGAACTGCTCTGCCAGGGGGTCCTTTCAGCCTGTATAGAAGGAAGCCAGCTGCCCTTCGCTCCCCGGTTCTTAAAGGTGGTTGCACAAAAGAACTGCTGTTCCAGATCGAGCAGTACAAAGGGAGTAATCTCCCTCTGGAGGGCAGAACGGGTGCAGCCATGCCACCCCCTCACACCTTCCCCCAGCACCAGGGAGGTCTGTTACCCCAGCATTGGGATTTCTGTTGCCCACCGAGGGGCGTTGGTGCAGGGAGATGCTCCGTGTTGCAATAGCTCTGTACCGAGTGCCCATGTGCCAGGGATGTGGGAATTGTGATGTGTACTTTGGGAAGAAAGGGCATTATTATGAGATGAGTCACTGTATTTTTCTTACTACAGTTTCTCATAAGAAATCTCAAGGCCCTTGTAGCCCCAGTGTTTGACCTATTGCTAGGAATGGAGCCGGGAAGTCTTTCCGAGGGTTTTACCTTTTGTTTTGTTCTGTGGTGTTTGTTCTCCGTTACTTTCTTTTCCTGAGAAATATGAAAAGCATTAAGTAAATTTTGATTGCACTCAGTTATATTCCATTTCAACAATATTGGCTTTCATATTTACAAACCCAGGTCCCTGTGTCGAAGCTGTTTTTTCCCTCAGATGTAAAGCTCTGGGGCTTTTGGGAAATGAAAAATTATTTATTATTTTTATTATTTCTTTATTAAAGTGAATAGCCAATAATCACCAAAGTAATTGCTTTACTAAGTAATAACTTTGTTGTGTAAATAGAACTCAGTATATAGCTGGGGCATTTCAGGGTCAGCACAAAGCTATTATCTCATAGAGCATTGGTTACAGGCACTCCTACCCTCTGGAGATCCTTCCCATCTGTTCTCACCATCACACTTGAACAAGTTGCTGAGTGCTGGCTCTGTGCCAGGAGCTCTGGTAGGGGAAAAAAAAAGAAAAAATAGGAAAGTGGAGCTTGTAGTCTGCCTTCAAGGAGCTTGTAGTCTGCCAGACCAGGGGTACTGAAGGTTACCCTGGTGACCTAAAAAAAAAAATGTAATTCAAATAGAGCCTCCTTTTTTCTTAAAGATGTATCCATTCTGCACCTTAATGGTGCACTTGGATCCTCTGCTATTCGGAAGAAAGCCCCAAATTCTAAATTATTTTCTTACTTTTAAACCTAAGCTGTAAGTCTGTGATTCTTTTGGAAATTAAAAATGGCATGTAGCACACCAGGGCTGCCTGAAAGTGGGTATATAATTCAGATACTTGAGTTCTCTGCCTCATGCCTGCCCCATTCAGGTTGTGGCCAAGCTGTGGCAGTAGCCGTCAAGGTTCTGCAGACGCACCGGTCACCAGGCCCTATGTGCTGGGCCCTCAATGTAGCATCACCTCGGGGGACGATCACTGGCATGTCCCGACGGGAGACACTGTTTAACACTAAACTGAACACGTGAGTCAAACTACTGTGTAATGGCAAAGAATTCTGCTAGTTTATGAGTATAAAATTGAAATGAGAATGAGTCTAAAGAAGCAATAAACTATGCTAGCCGGGATTATTTTTAGCTTGGCTGTCATAATTGAACCTCTGTGGGCCTTAACCCTCATCTCAGTCAAGGGGGGAGGTATCAAATGATCTCAGAAATCCTTTCTCACACTGAATTTCTGTCCAAGGAAGCAGATGAAAATGTAGCTAAGTAACAACCGTGAAATAATTTTGTACAAAAGAGAACCTCACTTGTAGGTTTAAAAGTTGTTGTAAAAAATGGGGGGTAGAGCTACATTTTGTTTTAGGAAAGATAAAAAGAATATATAAAGAAACATTTCAGACCTTCTGTTTCTAGAAGAAATAAACTACTTAATAGTTAGACTATGCATTAACTTTGCACCCTAATTGACAGAATGTTTTATAAGGGAACTTCTGCCTAACTATAAATGAGATCATTCGAGAAAAGAACTTTTTTTTTTTGTATCAAAAAATTAAATAAGTAGTGGATTTTTTTCTAAGTTTTTCATAATGTGTCATAAGCTTTTTAAGAATCCATTCTTCTCATCTTATTGTATTTCCTAAACAATGCTAGTGGTAAATTACTTGGAAGCCATTAACCAGAGATTCCTGTAGCCCTAGGAAAAGTTCCTTGACGGGGAAGATGTTGTTTCCATATTTCACATTTCCCACAGTGTTCTGAACTTAGTTTTCTACTTAATAACTGCTTACCAAAATTGTCCGTGTTCATTGTACAGAAACTCTAGAATTCTTTGTTTACA